TTCTCTCGGAAAGGGCTGCGAAGTTCAGGGGAGCCACCACCTTGCACTCGCCGAGCTCAACTGGGGAAGGCAACGGCTAAAACGACGGACTCCCCGAGAGAGATGAAATCGGAAGTCGGAAGAGTCGCAGAGTCGAAGTTCTTCAGAAGAAAATCGTATTCTTATGCGTTACTTTTGTGATTCAGGTATAAATCGTATGGATTGGAACTCTCTTTTGCGTAAATTTGAGTCCTGTTGCTGCTGTGTACTTTTCTCGTGAAATTCAGAGTCCCGTTTTGTCGTTTCGGAGCCTCGTCATTTTTCAAGCCTTGGTCGTTTTGCCGTTTGTTATTTTTGGAGTGGTATATAATCATCGTTTTATTTTTTAAACCATTATCCCGGTTTTTATAAAATTTTCTGTTAAGGTTCGAATGGGTTGTTGTTGGAAATATTGTTGTCGAATTTGGCCGTCGAATTTTCAGCTAAGAGCAGCCGATACCTCTCTCTGTCCAAGCGTAGCATAATTCTTTCTATTTTATTTCTGCCAGGCTTATGTTTAAATTTTAGTAGATTTGTTTTCATTTAAAAATTCAAACCAGCAAGTGGTGCAGTGGTGTTCTACCTCATTTCCGTGTGAGAGGGCGTGGGTTCGAACCCAGGCTTACTGCGTAGTAGCCCTTTTCTTTTTATTTCTTCCCAGCTCCAGCGCGCGGGCCGCGTATGGCCCGAGTTTAGCCCACGCGCATCCCGATCTCTTCCACAGCAGCTGCGGCCCGCGACCAGCGGGAGACTCGACCTCTGGCCCGCGTGACCTCAAGCTGGGGCAGGCTTTAAGTGCAGCCCAGTATGCGCATTTCAGCCCATCTTCACGCGTGTGGCCCAATTTTCATTTAACTTTTGGCCCAACAGGCTATAGTTTTAGTTCTGATGAATGCTACTTCCAGTCGTTTTATATACCGAGAGTTGGTTTCTCATTCCGAATTTAATTTTAAAAATTGTTATAAATTGAGGAAAATCTGGGATAAATTTTTTTAAGTCTCGTGATCCATTTTCTTTTACCGAGTCTTTTATTTCTAAAACCTCTAGAGTTCCAAGTCTACGAAAAATCCGATTAAAACCCTTAAGTCTTAATTTTTATTAAGTATGGGTTTTACTTTAAATTCGAGTAGTGAGATAGATTGTTGATATATTACCTCGCTTAAATGTAGGTGTTTGAGGAGTCGAGCCCTCGACCTACGTACTTGCTTTTGTGTGCGACATTCTACCTCAATTTCCAGGCGGGTTTATTTATGAAATTCCTATGCCATGATTAATTGATGTTATAATGTATGGTATGATCAATGTATGCATGTGAACTGTACTGGCCGTCGAACGGTCATCTCCATAGCTATAGAACGGACCCCGTTGGAGTAATCTCCTCTTTACGCCAGTAAGACCAGGGTCTGTGCTCGGTCGGCGGATGAGACCAGGGCGGAGCTCGGTCGACGCTATGAACCCTGTTATAAGTCCAATGGCGGAGCCAGGCCTTTGGGGGATACTCCTACTGTTTGGACATCATTGTAAGGCCTGAACAAAGGCATTCGATACGTGTATTAGCAGTAGTCTACTGATATAGGTGTGCACATGAGACTATTTATGACTTTGGATAGGAGATGGGATAGTTGATTGATTCGTATACATGCTGGACCATACCTATTTTAGCTTTTGATTACTTGTTATTTATGTGCATAGTGGTGAGCACCACGGATTCATATTGTGCTCACCCCTACCTGCTCTTCACAGATGCAGGTTAAGCAGGTTGCGGCCACGGCGAGGCGAGGCGAGGGGTGGTCTGTTTAAATGATTAGACCATTCTTTGATTTTGCTTCCGCTATTATCTGAGACTGATTTATGACTTGGGTTATTTATGTGACTTATGGATATTATGTTTTAAAACATTGTTTGGGGAGATGCTCCGTTGACACTATGATGTCTTTATTTTGGAAATTTTGGAAATCCGTTTGGGTAGTTATGACTTGGGATGAAACCTTTGATAAGGTGTTAGAATATGTTTTGAAGTCATTGCTATGACTAAGTATTTTGATATATGTGATAATGTTTTGGAAATAAATGGGTAACGCCTCAAATGTTTGAAATGAGTTTGAAAAAATTAAATTGATTTTTCTTGAAAAGCCATGGATTTTCGTTAAATCAAAGTGGGGCGATACACTGGTTCTGTGGGAGGCGACCCCCAGAGTGTGCACATGAAGACCGGCCAGTGTCCGGGAGTCTGCAGTATGAGTATTACAGTTCATTTATATATATGCTGATGTCATCTATATTTGTTTTTATCATGAATAATTGCATAGTATGAATATTGATGAGCACGTTGATTATTGCCCAGCCCCCACAATTATCTTTTCAATTAGCATGTCGGGCAGGACTCAAGAGGGGCTTGTGGTGGTCATATGAAGTTTATTTATTGCTTCCGCTATTGAACAGTTTAATTTCTGAACATGTTATAATCAGCTATGTTGAACATTGTTTGGATTCCAATTTCAGTTTTTCAATTCATTTACCAGACTAGTATCGATCGCTCTGTTAGGTCTTAATGATTGAACATGTTTTATGTCGGGATCAGATATCCTGAAATTACAAAGCAGACACGATAGTAAAGCCAGTTACATGTTTAGTAAGTACACTCACGTCATGTTTTAAAGAGTTAAATGATTTTTGGAAAGGTTCGAGTAAATTTTCGAAAACTCAGATTTTTTCAACGTACAAGTATAGATGGGCTTACAGTTTGGTATCAGAGTGCAGTTAGAGTTTCTGAATACTTTTGAAAAACATGACCACTCGCCACCTTGAGCCGCTCCTGAACCCAGGCATGAGTTAAATAAGTCAGTCATAACATATGCATGTTTATTTGGGTCTTAGAACTTATCCTCCTTTAATGGTTGAGAACACTAGTCAAGTTCAAACTTATAATTTGAACCTTAATCTGTTCATTCTAAACCCTTCTCGTACCATGTGTCCAGATATGGATAGACGTCATGCCAATGAGCAACAGCCACATCAGCAACAGCAGCAGCAGCCCCCGAAGCAGAATCATGTATGGGTTGTTGCTCAGTTTGGGAAGATGTCACCTCCGGCTTTCACCGGAGAAGGGGGACCGCTGTCAGTAGATGACTGTTTCCTTAGGCCAGAGAGTAACATTCTCCTGATGGTGTGTATTGAGGCCCAGAAAATAGGCTGCGGGGAATACATGTTAGAGGGCGAAGCTGGACAATGGTGGAAAGACTATTGGCGCCTAAAGCCGGTAGACGAGTGAGACGCTTTGACTTAGGCGCAACTCAAAGCGATCATCACTGAGAAGTACTATCCTCGTCACTTCTGTGACTAGATGAAGAGAGAGTTCATGAACCTTAGTCAGGGGAACCGCACTATGGCAGAATACGAGTGGGAGTTCTCCCATTTGAGCGCGTTTGCCCGACATCTAGTGGATACAGAAGAGAAGAAGGCCACTCGTTTCCTGTATGGACTTAGACGAGATCTTCTCATGCTGATAGTCGGCCACGGCTATCTCACCAATGCCGAGACTGTTGACAGGGCCTAGCGACTCGACATGTGCCAGCAGATATGGTCCCAGTCACACTCTGTTCGACCCGCTGACATAGCCCAGCCATCAAACAATGCTGGGAAGAGAAAGTGGAATGATGATCACAAAGGGAAAAGCAAGAAGAACATGCAAGACAACAGAACACCCCAGGCAGCCCAACCAATCCAGCAGGTACCAGCCGTCCGCCCACCGTGTGCTACCTGCGGTAGAGGACATAGGGGAGAGTGCTTATCTGGCAAGAACATTTGTTACATATGCAAGAGACCCAGGCATATGGCACAGTATTGTCCCGAGTGCGGTCAGGATCAGCAGCATCAGCCAGGACCATGAGGGAGAGCCCGAGTTTTCGTATTGACCCAACTTGAGGCAGCAAATAATCAAGGCACTATATCTGGAATGCTTTCTATGCATGGTATACCTGTATTTGCATTATTTGATACCGAAGCAATGCACTCGTTTATTTCATCGAGCCTTTGGAGGCGATCGGAGTCCAGAGTGTGAGTGCAATCAATGATCTAGAGGTCAGCCTAGCCTCGGGGAAGACGATTGTTACAAACACTATGGAACAGAAATTTAAGATGAATATCGGAGGACGAGACCTGGAAGCAGACACATACGTCATCAACATGAAGGACTTTGACATTATTCTAGGGATGGACTGGTTGACAAAGTACCATGCCGACATCAGCT